TGATCACTGACATCTTCCAAGCAGTTATTTTAGTGGAGGTTTGAGCTGTAAACGTATCTGGTTGTTTCAGCCATCTATGCCTTCCAAACTTCCTTGGATACAAACAGCCAGGACCGCAGTGTTTAGAACATGCTGGGATCTTTCACTGCCTGGCTGTTACCACAAACGTCTGCCCCAAAACATGCTTATGCAGGGCACTTCCCAGGAATCATTTACTGTTGCCCTAGCTTCCCTCGAGCTGGCAGTCCTCTCAGATTCCATTATAGTCTCAGGGCAGGCAATGCTCTGTGCAGCGGGATTGCCAGGGGGTGCCACACAGCCCCGGATGCTGCCAGACTGTTTGAAGTAACTGGGGAAGGCTGAAAAGAGCTGCTCTTAGAGTAGGGATGGGAGAGACACACTTCAGTCACTGGATCTGGCCCAACAAACAAGGCAAAAGACAGACACTGAAGAATGGAGGCCGCAGGGCACAGGGCTTCCCAGGCCGGACCCCGGAGAGCGCACATGCTGTAGCAAGCCCTATGCAGAGCGATGGCGGGAGCTATGCACATCTCATCACAACGCCTCCAAGAGGAAAATACCGGCAGCTCCTTTTACGATTGAGGAGATGGTCTCAGAGTGACAATTTGCCTATGCCCAGCAGAACAGGGATCAGGTTCTGGGTCTCACGGTATCTCTGTGTGCCCTCCCCTATGTCAGGAGCTGGCAAACCAGGCCTGAGGGTCAACCCAACTCGCCACCTCTTTTTGCAAGTAACATTCCACTGAGACATGGTCACTCCCCTCACTCCTTTGTGGTGTGGCTACCTCTGCACTGGGATACAGCGGAACAGACTGTACAGCCACAGACCTGAAATGCTTACCTCCTGCCTCTCACACACGTGTGCTCACCTCTGGCCAAGACGGTAAACCCGTGCCTTACTTCTGGGATCTTTCCTCATTTATACTCTGTTCCCATCCAGTAGGAACCCTAGAGAAACCTGCGGTCCGTCCTGCACACTCCCACGGGCAGACCTGCCAGGCTGGCACTCAGGCATCAGGTGGCGTCGGTACCATCCCAGGGTGCAGGAGCCGGGCACACAGCCAGCCTTCCAGTGAGGCACTGCCCAGTGACCCCCTCACTGCAGGCAGCCTTGGGATGACCTGCTGCCAGGCCTGCTAGTGAGGGACAGAGAGGCCCTGCCTAGGCTGCCACCCTCCCCACGTCATAACTGCTCACCATGGCCGCTGTACTTCAACTCGGATCTTGGAGCCCTGCAACGGAGAACTGGAAACCCAGGGGGAGTTACACACACGGTGTGTGTGTCCGAAATGACTTGGGAGCATCCTAAGAATCGCTCTTGCATGAGAGTGCCTCCCTGAGCCCTCATGAAGACAGGAATCAGTTTCGTCTCCCCAGTCTCCATCGAAGCTCTCAATTGTGTGCGAGGAGTTTGCACTTTACTTCCAGGCCTCACTACAACCCCCAGGACAGGTGCAAATATTTTCACTTCTGGGGCTATCATCCTAGACCACTTGTCCTACTGTGACAAAGTCGCGGGGACTGGATCATTTGTGAAGAGCAGACATTTATTCCTTGCGGTTCTGCAGGCTGAGAAATCCAAGATCGATGTGCCAACAGGCTTGGGGCCCAGGGAGGGCCTGATGGCTGTGTCCCTGCCTGCCTGGCTGCTGTGTCCTCTGCAGGGGAGGAGCGGACACTGTGCTTTTTCATTTGGCAGCAGGTAGAGGGCAGTGAGCCAGACTGCAGGAAGCCGCTCTCAGAAAGGCCTTAATCCCATTCACGAAGGAGAACCCTCACGATCTAATCACTTCTTTTTTTTTTTTTTGAGAGGTTTTTGCTATAGGGCTCGTGCGCTCGCCAGACAGACAGAGAGAGACAGAGAGACAGAAAGCAGGAAATCACCCCCCAGGGGGGATGACCACGGCATAACCCCTTCTCCTCCATTCTCTCGGGATCTTGGGCACACACGCACACGCGCCCAGCGTGAGTTTAAGCCACCGGGCGCGGGACTCGAACCGCGGTCGACTACGTGGGAGTCCCGCAACATAGCCATTACGCTAACTGCTGGTCCCTCTAATCACTTCTTAAAGGCCCCAGTTTTTGTTTTGTTTTGGTTTTGTTTTTTGTGTTTTTTTTTTTTGCGAGAGGGTACATACACATACCCAGTAGAAATGGGGGAAAGTCAGTAAGGGAGGAGAGAAAAAGAGCAAGTACCCTCTCCCCGAAGGGCGTGGTCTTACTATAATCCTTTTCCCACCATCCCATGAAAGTCTCGGGCACATACACACATGTGCAGTGTTTTTCCACCTACCAGGCCCATGATCTGAACTGCAGCTGGCCACGTGGGACCCATCCTCCTATACACTTTACCCCTGTGCTACAGGGCTGGCCAGGCCCACCTCTAATGCTATCAGGTGGGCCACAAAGGCTTAACACCCACGTTTTGAAGGGAACATTCAAACTCTAGCAACTCTAATGGAACACACACAGTCAGGGTTCAAAGCTAGAAATCACGGCCGGTCAGGTCCCCGTGTTGATGCTGTTTGCTCTGTACAGACGGATCCCAGTAAGCAGCACCCACTGTCGCAGAGACGGCCCGCCCCAGCCCTCGGGCAGGAGGAGTGGGGCATGATCGCAACACCATCCCTGGACCGGATGCCCTTCAGTGCAGGGCAGGGCCAGGGCTGGAGCCGGGCTGCTCTACAGTCCTGAAGACATGGCTGTCCATGGCTGGTGGGACAAAGAGGGGCAGGTCGGAGATGTGGGTGCCCAGGGACAACTGTAGGCCCCCACACAGTTTCTGCACAGCCTCACACTCCCCTGAGACTCAGGAGGTACTGTCTGCTCCTAGCCCAAGAGCTCTGTCCCCTACTCCTAGCAGAGTGAGGTGTTCCTGGGATGGAACAGGCCCTGAGCAAGTGCCACTTTGGCTGCAGGCGACCCATACCATGGAAGCATCTAGAAAGTACACACACCAGTGGCACAGGACAGGTGCCCTCCCCCAGCTCTCCCTTCCTTCTCCGGGAATCAGCCATTGCCACTTCTAATCTGATGCCGCCAGGCTTCACCAGGGCAACCATCTGCCTGTGGCAGCTCACGGCCCATTCTGGGCCTGACGCACCCATGGGCTCTGGGCAGGCGGTGACCTCAGTGCCCAGGCCTCGCTGCGTGTGGTACTTACGGGCCAGCTACCCCAGCTGTGTGTTGGGGACCACACAGCCAGGGTACAGGGCCATTTCCACGAGTGCTTAGAGACGGGCTAGAGGTTTACGGGGCTCGCAGTTAGAGGGGAAGCTGTGGAGTGCCACCTGAACAGCTCTAAAAATTAAGACGGCTGCTTCCTGAATCCTCGGCTGAAACCCCGAAGTCCCGCCACCTGGCCCAGCCTTCCCATCCCACAGGGAGCCCATTCGTGCCTGACGAGGGGTGAGGTGCCATTTTCCCGCAGCACCATCCCTGTCCCCGGGTCCAGGTCCCCAGCATCCCGAGCGCCTGTCCTCTGTACCGGAAGGTCCGGGGTCTCTCGGCCATGGTCTCGGAGTCACCTTAGGGCACGCACGAAGTCCTGTCAGTCTGAGTAACTCACCGTGGCCTTAATGAACTGAGGGTCCCAGGCCTAACCTCCACTAAGCTGGCTCAGCCAGACAGAAGACTGAAGGCCTCAATCAGACGTACCCAGCACAGCTAGGGGGTGTGGGGCTCTGAAAAACATCCCCTCCAAAGCGGAGTCTCTGAGGCACTAGTGCAGCAGGCCTGGGGCTGCGTCTGCTGGAAAAGCCAGAGCGGAAGGGCCGGGACAGCAGGGACGGGGGCCACCAGGTACTTGCCAGCCTCCCTCCAGACCTCTCACACCCGGTGCCTCACCTGCGGGCTCCAGGAACGAGCAGCTGCCATCACTGCCTTCAGTCACAGCCAGAACAGTTCCGCCCACAGAGCCAAGGAGTTCACCCGGGTTCCCACGGCTCATGTCTGATCCACGTCTGAGCCACATCTCCGGATGCCCAGGTCCTAACCTCCAGCCCACTGAGGGCCAAGTCAGAAAGGACTGGACTGCAGGGAGGAGAAACGGTACCAGACTTTTAAGCACAGATGAGAAGGGAGAGGGTTAGGACACAATCCCAGGACCCCAGTCACAGTCTGCAAGGAGGAAGGTCTCCAGCGTGGCCACTGCATTGCAGATGTCCAAGCACCTGTCCGTGGGGCTTGTCACGGTGCCAGACCCTGAGCCACGACACAGGCCAGGTGTGAGTCTGTGTGATCCTTCCTCTTCGGAGACAGAAAGGTGACCATGGGGTGAATTCTCTGAGCCTGTAAAACGGATCAGAGACTCAGAGAGCCCCAGGAGAAGGCTAGGCCTATACGCCCTCTTCAAAGCCTGTGCTGTCGCAGTCTAGGAAACAGCTCCAGCTACTTCCTGGGTCAGGCAGCCGTCAGCTACCCTCCCTCAGTCACTGCCCTGCACCCCACTCCCTAGCAGGTCCCTAACACCAGGAATGAGACAAAACCCGTCACTTGAACAAACTCAGATAGGTGGGCCCTCCGAAGGCCCCCGGTCCTCAGGCTTCCCTCAGTCCTGGGATTCTAGATAAATAAGGACTCCAGGAAGCGGCTGTGTCGTCTGCTGGCAGCACTGCTCCTGACAGGATGGGACTCCCACAAAGTCAGCCTCTCTGCCGGAGCTGGAGCTACACCACGTGGAGAGAAGAGGAGTCAGACAGGCTGGCCCTCGGCTCCCCAGCACCCACAGCCACAGGGCCCCGCAGGCCACAGACACTGGGGTCCCTCATGGGGTGCGACTCCGCTGGTGCTCACCTACTCTGCACCCCAGGGACCCCACACTCCAACCAAGGCACGCCAGAGAGGCCGGCGTCAGCCTCCTGGGAAGGTAAGGTCACAATGCAGAGCCACAGCCGGACAGGCCAGGCAGGACGCTCCAGGGACCAGCGCCAGCGCTTGGAGGACTGTTTCCGGGAACCCGGAAGGCTTCGTTCTGCTCAAAGCCGCTCCCCCGAACTTCTCCTGGGCAAACGTCAGAGTTCAAGGTAGAAGCGGAGTCCTACCAGCAACCCTGTCTGTTCTTCAGGTAGTGTCATCACACCGGCTCAGGAGGGCAACTTGCCGCCCGAATGGAGGGACAGAGTCAAGGTCAGGCCGAGGCAGGTAAGGCGGGCAGCTGGAACCCAGCGTGCAGAAACGAGCCTTCTTCCAGGCGGGCCTGATCCTCTGCCAGTTGCGCGCGTGCAAAGTGACCGCGCGGTCCTGGGAGGACCCCCGGATCCGTCCAGCTCTCCCAGCCGTGCCCTGCCCTCCCCTCCCCTCCCTGCTTCCTTTCTCCTGCCGCGCGACTGCCCCTTCACAACTTCGGGCTCACATTTTCGACTTGTAAAAGTCTCCCTATAAGCTCTCAAAAACTCGGAACCCTAACGAGAACTCTGGAGCTGTCATGCGGCCGAGCGGCCACCAGGTGGCAGCGGCGCCCAGCGGGGCCTCGCAGGCCGCGCCGCGCACGTGCAGCCCCGGCGCCCAGCGGACGCGGCCCAGGACCCGCCTGCTGTGAGTCCCGGGGTTGGGGGGCCCGGGCGCAGCCCCGCAGCCGCCGCGCCCCCGGGGCTCCGTCCCGCCTGTACCTGAGTGACCGCAGCGCCGTGGCCACCGCTCGGAGCGCGGGGGTTCCGACAGCGGGGCCGGCCCCTGCGCTCCCCAGCACGCAGACCTCGCGGGTGCTCGCAGGGCCCGAGTGAGCTGGGCCCTCCCTGGGGCTCGCGGCTGGTCGTACAGTTCTCGGGCTCCGCATGTCCAAGGTCCATCGAAGGGCCGTTCCCCCCTGGCCGGCCCCCCGTTTTC